ACACACACACACACACACACACACACACACACACACTTAAATACAGGCACTCTTGACCAGCACGTGCGTCTCTCTGTGTGCGACGGCAGTGTTTCTCTATAGAGGCAGCTTTTCCATGCATTTTACATCTCAGATAATGAAGTCGCAAAAGATATGCGAACGATTCATGTTACTTACACTTAAGTGCACACAGCATGCCATATCATCTGATAATTGCTGGAAAAAATTCCAAAAGGCAGTTGACCGTGTAAAGCCACATTAAACAAAATAAAAATATGATGTATTTGCTGAGCTCAGCAGCTAATCAGCCGGAATCAACTGAGGTGAAGTGATGGTGACCAACAAGACCTAGCTACCTGCCATGTCCTTAATTATACAGACTTGATTAAACTTAATAAAAACGAAACAGATGAGTTATAAAAAACTTCACCCCCCTCACTGTTTTTATGAAGGGTAATATTAGCTATATGCACCAAAATCATTTGTTTGTATCAGGCTGATTGGCTTCCCGAGGGCGAGCGTGAGGTTGCCGCTTGATTTTTCCCTGTTGAAAATACTGTATAAGTAACTTTGAAGCTACAGACAATTCATTATCAGTAGAGCATTAGTAGAATGTTAAGGTTTAGTTTAGTAGAAAATGCACTTAATTACTTATTTAAGACTCATTTTATTTTATTTGAAATCACTTTAAGATCCAACTTTGGGTTAATAATCAAAAGTGACTACTGTGTTTTGTACGTCAGTGCCATTAAAACCACTTCCAAATGTTTCCTCTAATGCTAAAGCCATAAAATGCCACAAACTTGTGTTTTTGAAGACGTTAATGGTTCACACTCTTCTTGCGAACTGCCTGCGAGATCTCCATCATCACACACTTCTGCATTGTGCCAGAATGCTTTCTCTAAAAGCCTAATGTCCTATAATGAGGACACTCCTCTAATAAGGATGTAAAGTTGAGAGGATGTGCTGGTGCCCGGCGGGATTTGTGGAGACACCACGGCTAATTTACGGCAGCATTAGGACTTAACAGAGAAGAAAGCTGGGTAATTTAATTGAAGCCCTTTAACTAGAACAAACATGCCTGTAGGCCAACGCTACATAGGACACTGAGGAGACACTTTGAAGCTGAGAAGCTTCTGTGCTTCACCGACCTGACTTTAGCAGTGGCTGCAAGGGTAAGAGTTGCTGGGCAAAGGGGAAAGTCTACAGGGAGACATATGCAGCCTGAAGTTAAGTAATATTATTTCTTTAATATTATTTTCATTATAAAATATAATATTATTATTTAGAGGTGTGAACCTAGACTGGTCCTATGGTTCGGTTTGGTTATGATTATCATGCCATCGATTCGGTTCAATTCGATATCTCACGGCAATTCGTAACTTTTTGATTTAGTGGCTAATTCGTATGAAATCGTACAATCTAATTCGTATAATTTAGTACGATTTTCTCATCCCCCAATGACGGTTGGGTTTAGGGGTGGGGTTAGGTGCCACGCCTCCTTTTTAAAATTCAAATTTGTACGAATTAGCCACTAAACTGGCAAAACGTAAAATACTTACGTTTTCTCATGAGATCAGGCTGGAAGTATCGCTGTAACAGCCGAAAGGAAAAGAGAAGGGAGGAAAAGTCACGCCAGCAGCTGAGAGGAAAAGTCACGCCAGCAGGTGAAATGGGCCACAGTGCGAGAGAGAGAAATGGAGTTCAATTTCATTCCTTCAATCGCAGAAAAATAATGGCTTCTGCTGTACTGTAAGTGTCAATAGCTATGTTTCCATCCAAAAATGCAAATAAACTTTATGCGCAAAACTGGGTTATCGCATAAAAGTTGTGCGAATGAAGCATCGTTTCCATCCAACGAGTCAAAGCGAACAAAATCGTCACTTCCTGATTAACTGGCGCCAAATATCAACCGTAAAAACTGCATTTGCTGCAGTAGGAGAAGCTGCATCAATCTTTTCTAAATGAATGCGCCTCAGAAGACAATCCTGACAAGCAGTGAGCGCGCAGCGGCGTTTGAAGGTGTCAGACGCGAAGCACAGGCGCTCTTGATTCTGGAGGTCATTAATAATATAATAACACTAATACTGAAATGGTAAGGCGTTTTATAATGACCAAAACAACATTTCAGATGTTTTATAATGTGCTCAGCCTGACGTTTTGTCCCTTCACACACATTTTAAGCATCACATGATCTCTTTTAACAAAATCACATGACCTTTTTTAATGCACATGCTGGAGTTTGTGCGATAAAAGTGCTTCCATCGCAGTTTATGCGCATCTTTTCTCATCGAATAAAAAGTTAATCCTACCCAGTTAGGCGCATAAGTTATTTATGCGCATTTTCAAAATTTATGTGCATCATGGCGTTTCCATCAATTGTTTTTTTTAATGCGCATTTGCAAAATAGGTGGATGGAAACATAGCTAGTGAAAGACTGTCCAGAAAAACACACACACCCAGTGAAATTGTGCACCGTTTTTTCGGGGTTTTAAGTAGTTGGCGCCTGGAGTGTTGTAAATACCCGTGCTCGCCTTCCTCACGACAGGCCGCATATAAGATAAATGACGTCAGTACATAATAACTGGTTATGATTATTACTGTACTGATACCGAATTGTCTGTGTCTGAATCGCGGTGTACCGAAGAAACAATTAATTTTGACACTCCTATTATTATTACAAAAATACAATTACGGTACCACAACAATACCGTTTTTACATTACAGTGAGGTTTGTGTTTAGGGTTGGGGTAGGCATTAATAAAGTCCAATTAAATGGGTAAAATCATAAATAATATGAATAATACTCTGTATAATTACTGTTTTTACATTAGGGTTGGTATTAATAAACCCATTTAAATGTGTAATTTAATAAATATTATGAATAATTACTAATTTTACAATATTGTGAGGGTTAGATGTTAATAAAATATAATTTAGTGAGTAATTTAATAAATAATATGAATAATACTCTGTATAATTACGGTTCTTACATTACCGTGAGATTTGAGATTAGGGTTGCTGTTAATAAAACACATTTAAATGCGTAATTTAATAAATATTATGAACAGTTAGTAATTTTACAATATTGTGAGGGTTAGATGTTATTAAAATATGATTTAGTGAGTAATTTAATAAATATTATGAATAATATTCTGTGTAATTAGTGTACACATTACAGCAAGGGTTGGATTTTGGGTTGGGGAAGGGGTAGACATTAATAAAATACAATAAATATTCATTTAGTCTTTGTATGCTAATGGCTAATTAAAACTAAACACAAATGCCTTCAGTTTGAGCTTGTTCTGTGAGTTTTAAATCTACTACTAAAAAGCAACATATGGTTAAATTGATGATACTGTTTCCCACAATGCAATGTGCTTGATTAGATTTTCAAATATCCAGTCACAAATAATGTCCGTAATGACAATCTATCATATTTGACCTGCTATGCTTGACTATTTGATTATATTATCAATGTTTATGTGGTCAGTGCACCCACAAACTATCAACTTAACATGAACATACTCATAAAACCAAACTTATAAAACCTTTAAATGTCTGTTCAACTTTTTCACTAAAAAATAAATAAAGACAATAAACATTAAAATGTAGTTTTATAGTAAAAAAAATCATTCATTCAATCATTTTCTTGTCGGCTTAGTCCCTTTATTAACCCGGGGTGCCACAACGGAATGAACCGCCAGTAAAAAAATTACTTTAGTTAAATTACATCAAATGTTAAAACTACTTTAAGCTTTCAAAATTATTTAAAGTGGATGGTGAAAGGTTTGAAAGCAATAGGGCATAGGGGGGATAGAATACATCTGGAAATAAAACATCTACAGAGGTGAAGTTCCAACCACAAAACTTTTTTTTTGCAAATGATCATTGTAATGATGGACTCTGGGAAACATTGAATCGCCAAACTGTTTGTTTAACAGCTGAACTTGCCTTTTTAATTAGGTAAAATGGTTTTCTGAAACTCACCCCTTGGATGTTTACGGAATTTGAAAATAACCCTAACCCTAATCCATTTTTTTTTTGTGGATTTGATATAATTTATCTTCTTTAGTAAACCCAATCAAGAATATTAGTTCTGTGGGTTATTTCTGCTCTTCCAAAATTCTATTAATTTGCATCTTTACAGAGTATTCAGTGAAAGAAACATTGCAGTTTACTTTGCAGGATGCAGTAGTATTCCATCATTGTTTATTCCATACAGTAAACAATGTCTTTGTTTTCCAAATCAATATCCATTTTGCTAATAGAAGGAAATGAGCATTTATTGCTTATTTTGTTGTTTACAAAGAGAGGCATCCTAAGATATTGCCTGGAAAGAACAAAAGAAAAGCTATTTTTTATGCATTATTCAACGGGAAAATACACCCCAGCAATGCTTTAAGACATCGGCACTAAGGCTGATTTACGACTTCATTTATTGTTGTTTGATGTCGGGCACTGTTTGCGAAAGTAATGGGCGAACTGCGGATGAAAAGCTAATATGTTTTTATATAAAGCACTACACACGGGCAGTCAATCTTTCTATAGAGGAACAGAATAACAAACCAGAAAAGCTTTCATGGTAAATATATATGGGATATACAGTAATATAATATAATATAAAATAATATAATATAATATAATATAATATAATATAATATAATATAATATAATATAATATAATATAATATATTATAATATAATATAATACAATATAATTAATATAAAATAGGCATTTAGGCAAAACTTGCAATGTACCTAACAACAAACCTAAGAACTCTCACTGTGGAAAATGGCATTGCCAATGCTAATGGTTAGCTTTTAGCTTTACTAGCTTAAGGTTTTTACCCGATTTTACCAGACCATTCCATTTATCTGTCAGGTGTTTTTATAAATGCTATTTGTGTAACAGCGAATGCTTACAGCTCTTTTAAATAGCTGTATATTAGCAAAAATGTAGCATGTGTCTCATTTGTGGCTTTTGTTTTTTTCCACAGGGTGTTCAAGAAGGCAAGTCCCAATGGAAAGGTAACACTACATTACTTTTATTCCTCTTTTATGTCTACCAATAATATTAGTGTACTGGAAAAATTATTCATTGGACTTGCTCAATTGTTTTAAAGTAAGGGGGCTGCAAACAAATAAAATGGGCTGAATTTAAACATACAAATTAAGTTAAACATTCATTAATTTATTCATTTTCTTTTCGGCTTAGTCCCTTTATTAATCAGGGGTCACCACAGTGGAATGAACCGCCAAGTTAAACTTTACTAAACGTAATTTGTTTGTTTAAGTTCAGCCCATATAAATGGTTTGCAAGCACTTAAAAAAAATGAAGAATATCCAATGAGTGATTTTTTTTTTCAGTGTGTCTGATTGTTTTGATCATGATAGGTTTTCTGTCAGTGACTGAAGCATGAAACGGTTCTGACTAAATAACCGCAAAAGTATCTCTTGTTCCAGAAATTGATTTATTGGCTGTGACACTATTGATGGGTCCCGGATTGTAATGGTTGTGTGGTTAGCATATAGCCATATGTGTGTCTATATGTCTGATTAGCAGCGAGACGTGCGGTGTGGCGCTGAGCAGGAATCGGGCGTGGGGCGAATATGAAAGAGGGCATGTGACTCAGCAGCCTGCCTTCTGCACAAAACAACCATTATATAAACATATATCTGAATCAGACAAATGGGTCTCGATGGAAAAGGCTCTAAAACGACAAGTTGAGGCTCATAACTTTGTAAAAGATGACTTAGAATACTCATATTGATAGGCTTTTTAAAACTGAGACCAACATTATGCTTTTATTTTCGTTTGAAAAACAATGTTTCTACTTTGCAGCTCTAAAATGTTTCGTTGAAAGTACTCTTCTTTCAATTACTCTGCACCTCTGAGTTTTTTTTTTTTTAATTGATGTTGTTTATCATAGAGCCTTAAAATTTGTTACCAGTTCAAGTGGTTGCACACATCACTGCAATTTATATACAATGATCTAATGAACTTCATTACAGTTAAAGGGCACCTATGGTGAAAAATCTACTTTTCAAGCTATTTGGACAAACATATGTGTATATATAGTGTACAGACCATCATATTGGGGTGATATAAACACACCCAGTCCTTTTTTTTCAATTTAATAACATAAAAACGGTGGACCAATTAGAGCGGTTTTCAACCCGACCGCAACTTTTCGTAGGAGTTCGATTCCCCCGCCCACCTAACTGATTGACAGCTGCGCACATTAACATGTTCTGGTAGTCACGTGTATAATCATGTCAACAAGACCAGGCAGACATTGGCAAAGCAACCAGGAATAAAAGGTCTGTTCTGTTCGCTAGGATCAGCAATCATCATCAAATGTGATTAAGAGTAAGTCTCACATGTTTAAAGTGTTTTAAAACAGTGCACGTGTGTAGTTAATTACAGCGATTTACTTCAGCTTTACTTCATCAGCACAGCCGCGTGTCAGAACAATTATAAAAGAAGACACTTCAGTCCCGGTTTGTGGAAGTTAAATCAGGTTTCTTTTGTACATTAGCATAACAGATATCCACACAGTACTGGAGGTTAGCCTGTATCCTTTCACATTTGAGCGCAAAAACAGTGCTAAGCTAAGCACGCTCTGTCTGTCTATCTGCCTGCCTGTGTGTGTGTGTGTCAGCTGCGGTGTGTGTAATCTTTGTAACGATATTGTGTGTGACTCATTAATGCAACTTCACAATACTGATTAGTAAAGATTTGTTCTAACTGTGGTATTTCTCACAAACGCTACGTGAGACCTTCTTCCTTTAAGTCTGTCTGTTGCCTGACGCAGCCGAGGGAGGAAATTAAAGCACGCGGGAAGGGACGTAAAAACAGTAGACGGGAAAGACTCGTCTTAAAGGCGCAGTACGACAAAACCACCCCCTGCTGGAAATCAAAATCTGATGAGTGTTTTGAGCTGAAACTTTATATACACATTCTAGAGACGTAAAAGACTTATATTAAATCTGAAAAAAGGGGTAACCTAGGTGCCCTTTAAGGAGAAAACAACGTGTTCATTTGTATTTAAGAAAAATACCAGAGTATGTATCTAGTTTGTTGGTGTACTGTACAAAGACAACTACCTGATCAACAGATAAATTATGATCTAAGATGCTGAATTTTTTACAGATTTATAGATTCTAAATATGCTCCATAAACAGTTGAAGTCAAAATTATTGTCCCTAAAATAATAAAATAACAATAGCATTAATAACTAATGACTTTTGTCTTTGCCATGATGACAGTACATAATGTTGTACTAGTTATTTTGCAAGATACTGATACTAACGTAGCTTAAAGTGTGATTTAAAGACTTAACTATGTTTATAAGATTAAGCAGGCAAGTTAGGTTAGTTAGACAATTATTGTGTCCATTAACTGTGGTTTGTTCTGTAGCCAAACTAGGGGAAACTAATAATATTGACCTTAAATTGTCACAAAACCCTCGAGGACTTTTTAAAAAGATTTTTACAGATGTGTGTGTTGAGCTTCAGTTAAGACAATGTTAGCACCTGTTAGCTTTAATTGTGGGGGAAAAAACTGGGTTCCACTTTATATTAAGTGTCCTTAACTACTATGTACTTGCATCAAAAAATAAATACAATGTACTTACTGTGTTTATAATGTATTTGAGAACACTTGTGGTGCTTTTGAGTTGGGGCAGAGGTTGGGTTATGGACAGGTTTGGTGGCATGGGTAGGTTTAAGGGTGGGTTAAGGTGAAAGGGATGGTCAAAAGTGTATTTACAAATGTAACTACAAAAGTTAATTACAGATGTAATTACATACATGTATTTAATCAAGCATAAGTACACAGTAAATACATGTACACAAAAAGTACATTGTAAAAACTATTAATTCATGTGTAAGTACATATTAGTTAAGGCCACTTAATATAAAGTGGGACCAAAAACGGGATAATTTTGAGCTTTTGTCAGCTAATTTCAGCTTCTGGGTTTAAAATGATTTTTGGGGCGTATCAAAATCGGCGACGTAGCGCAAAACTGCAAGTGCAAAGATGACACGTCGGTTTCCCATTATTATTCATAGCGGAGTTTTCTTATCCTATGAGAAAAGCCTGCTTCTTAATTATTTATGACTGCACATGCTTTCTGAAGGCAAGGCAGACCTGCCAGTGCCAAGCTGTGAGACACGGACCCAAGGCACACATAGCTGTTGATGAAGGGTTGTATGTGTTGTATTTGATGATCGCGATCATGCGTGTTGATTCTGAAGGGACTCGCTCCGCCTGCCCTGTCCAGCACGTGGTGTGTGCGTGTGTGTGTGTGTGTGCGCGCGTGTGTCTATCTGTGTGTGTGCGCGCGTGTTTCTTAGCAACAAACCTGCATAAACACCTGTAGCCACTAAATCAAAAAGTTACAAATTGCCGTGAGATTGCGTTGCACTCTCAGCTCACATCATGCTAAAGAAAAGGTCCAAATTGTCCCCCGATAATGTCAACAGACTGGACTGTTTGAGCAACTGTCTGAACGTAAAGGAGGACTAAGCTAAATTGTTTCTACTTCATAATTAACATTCTCAACTCACAGCAATACAACTTTACAATGAGTGCAATTGTTTGTATTCAGTACTTTGTTGTTATTATAATTTTCCATTTTCCATATCTGCAGTGCCTGTATTTTAGCATTTTTTTGCGTCCACTTAGAATTCAACTTGGAAATAATTTTTTTCTTTATTGGCATTGATTATTTTGAAATTCAAATGGCATTAACATGCCTGTGTTTTTATTTCGGTAATAAATATGGCTGTCAAGCCCGGATCTTGATGGTTTATTGTGTTATTGTATGTTGTTTACATGAAGAAATCTGTGTCACAAGTTAAACAAAATTCTAATAAACAATTATATTTTGAATTTAAATAGTTTTTGTCTTGTGTTTACATTGATTCTACATTTGAATAGCCAAAATTACAAATTTCAGTCTTTTAAATGTGATTAATCGCGATTAATTTTCAAAAAAGGTGCAATTAATTAGTTAATTTTTTTAATCGATTGGCAGCACTTATATAATTTAATTATTATTTTTTGGCTCAGTTGAAATTGTGTGAATTGTTTTAAGTTGTATTGATATTTTGTAAATGTAACAATTCTCTTTTTAGTTAACTGTGTACCTTGGTAAGAGGGATTTCGTTGACCACGTGGACCTTGTGGAGCCTGTCGGTAGGAAATAAAATACACAAGTTAAATTGATGTTTACAACTGTAACTTACATTTTACTTTGTGTGTAATCATGTGCAACGTCTGTAATATGTTGCCATTTGTATTGTCTGCATGTTTGTTTTCCATCAAATATATATATGATCCGTTTTGCAAACTTTAAAGCAGCAATCATTTCTTATCTAAGCATGTGTATGTTGACTTTTTACCAATACATATTTTCGTCCTATTGCAGATGGTGTGGTTTTAATTGACCCAGAGTACTTAAAAGAGAGGAAAGGTGAGTACGAGTTATTTTATCTCTGCGTGCAGAGTTGCAGAAGGTCGATTTTTCTGATGAATCATCTGTTGAACTGCATCCCAATCATGAAAAATACTGCAGAAGACATATCAGAACCCATATGGACCCAAGATTCTCACAGAAATCAGTCAAGTTTGGTGAAGGAAAAGTCAAGGTTTGGAGTTACATTTAGGCCGTACTCACACTAGTTACAGTTGCCTCGAACCTGGCAAAAACACGCTTGTCCCCACTCCCGTCTCCCCCGACGGCCCGCGCTCACACCACAAACGGACCTCGGCACGCTTACGTCATCGCTGCTACGCTGTTCAGTGAGAAGCGCTCTCTCACTAAGCAGCACAGTGGAGATTTCTCTAGTTTTATCATTTCAGTTGTTTGATATGCAGTGACATGCAGTCAAATATTTCGCCAAACAGTCCTTAGGGATGCGGTGACACGTAGTCAGACATTTCGCCGAACAGATCCGCCACTTTTCATATATATACACACACACATATATATATACATACATACATACATGTATATATATGTATATGTATGTATATATATATATAAACTAAAGGGATCTTGCGTTCACTTGAGAAGAAATCATTATAAACTAGACTCATATTTGAAAGAGACCAAAGTCTGCAGTCATAAACCACAAATCTCAATATGAACTCAAACTTGAACTCATATCCAATATCACATCCATCCAAGTCTAATATCTGAGCAGTGCTATACCCATTCATTTTATAGTTTTGTACACTTACTGTATGTTAATATTCTGTTGCCGGTTTTTTTTTTATTAGGAACTGGGAGAACAGAGTTCACTGCAAATCCATTCTTACTTAAATGTGTTTTTGGGGATTTATTTCTAGTCAAAGTATTTAAAAATCAAGCAGCATTTTCCAGACAAGTAAATAATATTGTCTTGTTTTAAAAAAAAACTAATTTAAAGTCAAAATGAAGAGTTTTTGAGAGAATCTCGCAATGAGGTTGGCAAAATAATCTCATGTCTAAGTAAAAAAAAGATTATTTTCTTACCCCATTAGCAGATTATTTTTCGTGTTTTAAGTAAAAACCCTAAATTAAATTTTGACTCATTTTATATTAACAAGACAACATTTTTTGCTCGTCTAGAAAATGCTTCTTGATTGAAATATTTAGACTAGAAACGAGACAAAAATGTAAGTAAAGAAAGCCTTGTTTTCAGTGCATACAATTACTGACCTTTTTAATTTTTATTTTCACAGTTTTTGTGACACTGACATGTGCCTTCCGCTATGGACGGGAGGACTTGGATGTTCTTGGCTTGACGTTTCGCAAAGATCTCTTCGTGGCAAACATCCAGGCATTTCCTCCTGTCCCTGAAGAGAAAAAGAGCCTGACACGTCTACAAGAGCGACTGATAAAGAAACTCGGAGAGCATGCCTACCCCTTCACCTTTGAGGTCAAACTACTCTCATTTATCTTCATTTAATGCCAAAGTCAAAGTCAGAATGATTAGCCCCCTGTATATCTTTTTCCATAATTTTTAAACACAATAGTTTTAATAAATCATTTAACTGACTTTTATCTTGCTGTGATGACAGTACATAATATTGGACTGGATATTTTTCAAGCTATTAGAATTTAGCTTAAAGTGCAATTTAAAGGCTTAACTCTGTTAATTGGGCAAGTTAGCATAATCAGGCAAGTCATTGTATTACAGTGGTTCGTTCTGTAGACAGCTGAAAAAATATATTGCTTAAAGGGGGCTAAAATGGTAAACTTTAAAATGGTTTACCTTTAAAAATTTTAATAAAAGAAATAAGACTTTCTCCAGAACAAAAAATATGGGAAATACTGTGGAAAAATCCCTTGTTCTGTTCACCCAAACATCATTTGGGAAATGTTTGAAAAAGAAAAAAAAAGGAGGGCGAATAATTTTGTCTTCAACTGTATTTAATGCTGAGCGGAGATTATCGCATCCAATTTGGTATTTTGATCATTTTTATGCTATGATTTCAATCTTGAATTCAATGTCAAATCTTTCCTCACAGATTCCTCCAAACTTACCCTGTTCTGTCACATTACAACCAGGGCCAGAAGATACAGGAAAGGTATATTTCCTTTGAATAATAATAAATGATGTTGATTTTGATAGGTAAAAAAGCTTTGCAGAATTCTCAGTTTCTCACGCTTTTTTTTTTCTTACCTGCAAAGGCCTGCGGGGTTGACTTTGAAGTCAAAGCTTTCTGTGCAGAGAATGTTGAAGAAAAAATCCACAAAAGGTACAGGCTTATACAGTACAGACAGCCAACTGAGAAACACTTATAAAACTTTTTTTTTAAAAATTGTTTTGTTGAAAATTGTCAAAATGTGATTTTGAAAAATATGAGAGATAATCAAGGATTTGCACAGCAAATAAGCTTTTCTCATTTAGAATTGTAGAATTGTTTATTGTCCAAATATCACAGAATTCAAGAACCGTTTTTTTTATATTTTATAAATAAGCAAAAAATGTTTACAGAAATAATGAGTCAAAATTTCCTCAAATCAAGCAAAATAATCTCGTTTTTGATTGAGAATAAGTGGATTTTCTTACCTCAGTGGCTGATTTTTTTGCTTGTTTTAAAGAAAAAAAATCACTTCATTCATTAATTTTCTTTTCGGATTAGTCCCTTTAATAATCACCACAGCAGAATGAACCGCCAACTTATTCAGCATATGTTTTATGCAAATGTTCCAGCTGCAACCCATCACTGGGAAACATCCATACACACTTATTCACACACATACACTACAATTTTTGTCTTACCCCAATTTACCTGTACCACATGTCTTTGGACTGTGGGGAAAACTGGAACACCCAGAAGAAACCAACACGAACACGGAGAGAACATGCAAACTCACCGAGGCTCAAACCAGCAACCTTCTTGCTGTAAGGCGATCGTGGTACCCACTGCACCACCGTGCAGCTAAATCACTTAATTTTGATCTAATATTTTTAAAAAGTGATTAATAAAAGATGTGTTGATATTTTGACTAGAAATAAGACAAACTGTGTGTGATTATTACATTTTTGATTGAATATATTTCAGAAAGTGCCTTATTATGATTTCTAATTTCATTTGTCAAGTTTAGATGAGTTTTTTCCATTTATCAGGCAGATAATAAAATATAATTAATAAATGTATTGCTAGTTTTTTTTTTGTCTAAATCAGTTACTGGTGCATATGCTCAAACACCCTCACATTATTATTGAGGTAATGTTGATTTTATATTCACACACAGACTTTTTCCTTAATAATATAATGTCACAGAAATATTCTTTGCAAATTCCAAATAGTGGAATCATAATAGCAGCAAATGACTATCAAAGCACAACATTGTTCACAGTTAAATAAACAGTGCTAATGTTGTTTTCAAGTTATACTTGCATGTGATGGGTGACGCGGTGGCACAGTAGGTAGTGCTGTCGCCTCACAGCAAGAAGGTCGCTGGTTTGAGCCTCGGCTGGGTCAGTTGGCGTTTTGTGTCGAGTTTGCATGTTCTCCAAGCGTACGCGTGGGTTTCCTTCGGGGGCTCCGGTTTCCCTCACAGTCCAAAGACATGTGGTACAGGTGAATTTACAGGCTAAATTGTCCGTAGTGTATGAGTGTGTATGGATGTTTCCCAGAAATGGGTTGCAGATGGAAGGGCATCCGCTGCGTAAAATATATGCTGGATAAGTTGGCGGTTCATTCTGCTGTGGCGACCCCTGATTAATAAAGGGACTAGCCGAAAATGAACGAATGAATGATTGAACTTGCATGTGATTTCAGACCGAATATTTAAAGTACCATGGTAAAAAATATAGGGAGCATGTCACAAGTTGTTACTGAAAGAATGTGCTAATATAAAACCAACTTTATCTCAATCACAATCTCATCAGTTGTGTTGTTTCACTGTTAGTCATAAATTCTGTAATACTTTTCACCTGAATCAGACATACTGCTTATTTCATATGCCATTTTTGGCTTCTTTATTGTATAAAAAATAGCCATATGCAGACACAAAAAGAGTGGCATAGAGCCAACACATAGCAACTTGCTAAAAACATTTAAATAATCTTAACAACATACTATTGACTTAAAAACCACTCCAAAATGGATTTGGTGGAGAAAAGTCAATAAATGTCACAAATGATGATTTGTGTCTCCTGTTATTGGCCCTTCAACAGGAATTCAGTGCGTCTTGTCATCAGAAAAGTGCAGTACGCTCCGGAGAAGCCGGGCCCGCAGCCAATGGCTGAAACCACAAGGCAGTTTCTCATGTCAGACAAACCTTTACACCTGGAGGCCTCGCTTGACAAAGAGGTGAGATTGTCTTGATTATTCAGCTGTAGTCAGTGAGCCTAAATATCTGACTATGACTGAGTTAAAACAACATCAAACAGGGTTCTGCTAATTACTGTAATTACTGTACTGTAATCTACTAAATTAGTCTAGTGACAATGAGTACATCTAGTGATGGAACAGGGTATTACAACTGAAGTGATGACGACCTAAGCTGCATTTCATTCAGAAGGGCTCGTCCCTTTGAAATAATCCCTTTGAAGGGTTTACCCTCTAGAGCAGGGGTTTTGGAGACTCTTTAGAGACGATTCTTTTTTTCAAATGAATCATGTGAGTTAAAACACATGAACTGAAACAGTCTGAATCAGCATTCATTGACTGACTGAGCAGGGCCGGCTCGTGGCATAGGCAGTATAGGCAAATGCTATGGGCGCTGTACAACCACGGGGGCGCCAGAAATGAGCGCGGTTAAGTTGGTTTTGTTTTCGATATTCCTGACACATTCAGTGATAGATGGCAATAATTCAAAAACCTCCTACCCTAAAAAGATCTAAAGTGTGTTTCCTACAAAAAGACATCTCTAAATGATCACTCTATAGTGACAGCTTTGAAGGGATAATTTCTATTGAAAAATAGCCATTTTTTTGTTAACATATGAGTCTTCATAACAAGACTTTCAAGATGTCCACTAACTAGATAACACATACAAAACACTTGGAAATATGAGTATATTGTGCAAAAAAAATATTTATTTTATAATTTCTACATGTATGTATTTAACATTTAATTGATTTTATTGTTTTTTTTGTTACTTTGTTTTTATTTTTGAATTTATTTATAAATATCACAGTAATTGCTAATAGAAAAATGAAAAGTCAAATTTTAAGCCTCCAGTTGTCTGTGTGACATCAAACAACTTCCCTTTGCAAAGGATCATGGGTCCCTGATATATTCATAATTTGTAGTCTTTAAAATCCTTCATTCCTGATGGACCCTTCGAAGATTCCAGTTTTGAGTACTTCGGATTGGAAAGACACTTCAATGTGGCTGTCATGTTTGTTTTCACTTTGAAGTTGCCTTCAGAAATTGATGTGTCCTGTTTGTAACGCACAGCTAATGTTATACATTCAGTAGATCGGGAAAGTATTCATAGCGCTTCACTTTTTCCACATTTTTTTTTATGTTACAGCCTTACTCCAAAATGGATTAAATTCCTTTATTTCCTCAAAATTCTACACACAATACCCCATAATCACAATGTGAGAAAAGAGTTTTTGAAATTGTTGCAAGTTTTTATATATAAAAAACCCCCTGAAAAATCACATGTACATAAGTATTCACAGCCTTTGCTTAATACTCTGTTATTGCATCAATTACAACCTCAAGTCTTTTTGAATATGATGCCACAAGCTTGGCACACCTGTCTTTGGAAATTTTTACCCATTCCTCTTTGCAGTACCTCTCAACTTTATCAGGTTGGATGGGAAGTGATGTTGTACAGCCATTTCCAGATCTCTCCAGAGATGTTCAATAGGACTTAGGTCTGGGCTCTGGCTGGGCCACTCAAGGACATTCACTGAGTTGTTGTAAAGCCACTCCATTGATATTTTGGCAGTGAGCTTTGAATCATTGTCCTGCTGGAAAGTGAACTGTCGTCCCAGTCTGACGTCAAGAGCACCCTGAAGCAGGTTTTCATTTAGGATGTGTCTGTACATGTGCTGCATTCATCTTTCCCTCTATTCTGACTAGTCTTCCAGTTCCTGCTGCTGAAAAACATCACCACAGCATGATGCTGCCACCACCATGCTTTACTGTAGGGATATTAGTAGCCGGTTGATGAGCTGTGCCTGGTTTTCTCCAAACGTAACGCCTGGCATTCACTCCAAAGAGTTCAATTTTAGTTTCATCAGACCAGAGAATTTAGTTTTCTTATGGTCTGAGAGTCCTTCAGATGCCTTTTGGCAAATTCCAGGCGTGGAGTGGCTTCCGTCTGGCCACTCTACCATACAGGCCTGATTGGGGAATTGCTGCACAGATGGTTGTTCTTCTGTAAGGTTCTCAACTCTGTGTTCATACACTCTCAGAAATAAAGGTACACGAGCTGTCACTGGGGTGGTACCTTTTCGAAAAGTACAAATTTGTACCTAAAAGGTCCATATTAATACCTCAAGGGTACATATTAGTACTAAAACAGTACAGTCCTCTTAAAATTTTTAGGTACTAATATATAATTTTGAGGTATCAATATGGAGTCTTCAAATACAAATGTGTACCTTTTGAAAAGGTACCACCCTAGGGACAGCTCACGTACCTTTATTTCTGAGAGTGTAGTGTAATTTTGGAATGATAAAGCATTAGAAAGAGATAGAGCAAAGCAGCGAATCTATTGTGGATCTTATAGGCCCTATTATACAGTCTAGCTATTGGCTCCAAGATATAATTTGTTGTGAGTGACCAAACAGGCAAACAGTATGACAGGGTGGACAAAATTATAAGATAAGTTTCTAAAACAGAAAAGACAAATTTGTCCTAATTTTTTCCATAAACAAACAGCTTTTGCTTCAGCTTTTTACAGACATTTTGAACATGGTCTTACTCTCAATACGTATTGTGAGTCCAGACTGATTCCTAAATATTGATATGTAGATACAATGGAAAGTTTTTGATTTGAGAAATTGATGGGATGGGATATGGATAATTTTCGCCAAGGTGAGTAAAAGTACATATATTGTTTTCTTTACGTTAATAGTCAAATGATTGTCTTGCAGCCATTGATGCAAATGCTAAAGATCTGTATATAAATTATTGTTAATTGTGCCTGTACTAGATGCAGACACAAAAAGCATAGTATCATCAGCGTATAATAAATAATCTGAACGTTTAATTAACTGAGGGAGGTCATTGACACATCAGGAAAAGTAAAGGTCCCAAAATACTCCCCTGTGGAACCTCCATAGAACAACCTAAAATATATTTAGGATAATATATTATATATTAATATATTTAAGATATTAAAAACAAGTCATTTCAGTAATTTATCTAGCTACTGCATTTGCGCAATTATTGGCACAACACCAGTCTTCTTTATGGCCGTTTCTGTGGTAACTGGTCAAATACTTTTAGGATTTCCAAAAAATCTCTCAAGTTGCACATTGTGAGCCAGGTTTTACACAAATCTCCATCATTTCAAAGTTCTCAGTCATTTTAAACTTCCCTGTAGAGGTCTGCAAATTCTCTGCAAATTTCCGAATAAATCGCGGGAGCGGTCGGTAACGGGTTTAATTTGGGACGGGAGCGGGCTGTCTAGCAATATCGCTCCCGACTCCTGAGCAACCACGCGTATATATGTGTGTAAATGAAATAGCGCAATGCTGTGTTTAGCTTGTTTGTTGCTGTGTGTGTGTGTATATGTGTGCGCATGCGCAAATGAGAGGTGTGTGTGTGTGTGTGTGTGTGTGTGTGTGTGTGTGTGTGCGCACGCGAATGAGAGAGAGAGAGATTTGCCTGTGTGTGTTAGTGCGCGCGCGCACACGAATGAGAGAGAGAGAGAGAGAGAGCTTTGCCTGTGTGTGTGCTTGGTGCTTATGTGTGTGTGTGTTAGTGCGCGCACGCGAATAAGAGAGAGAGAGCTTTGTCTGTGTGTGTGTGTGTGTTTATACAGACAGCTTGTTATAGGCTGTCTGGACTGTAAAGTTGGGTGATTTTCGGTTTTGTTCTCCACCCCGCTCTTTAGCGGGATTAGGCGCGGCGGGTAGAAAACAGGGCGGGTCAGGCAGTGGGACAACAAATGCTTAATATAGGCGGGAGCGGTCGGGTTCGGGCTAAAACCTGGCGGGTGCGGGCGGGAGCGGGATTGAAAATTTAGTCCCGCGCAGACCTCTACTTCCCTGCACCATTTTCTGAGTGAACATGGCGTTGTTTTCATGGTGCTATTCATGTTCTACATAATGTCTTTCAGATTTACTATCATGGTGAACCAATCAGCGTCAACGTCCATGTTACAAACAACACAAACAAGACAGTAAAGAAAATAAAGATTTCAGGTGATTCAGTTTTATAAGTGAATGGACTTTCAGTTATACTAGTACACAGTTAAGAACTTTTGTCAGTAACATTTATTTTCTATCAATCATTGCAGTGCGTCAGTATGCTGATATCTGCCTCTTCAACACTGCCCAGTACAAGTGTCCAGTGGCGATAGAGGAATCAGAGTACGTAATCGGCAATCTGTATGGCAATCAGCTTCTGTATGAGAACGCAAGCTCACATCTGATCGATAATTGTTTTGTTTTGTGTCATGTTGTAGTGATATCGTAGCCCCCAGTGCTACATTTTGTAAAGTTTACACCCTCACCCCTTTCCTTGCGAATAACCGAGAGAAGCGTGGCTTGGCTCTGGACGGCAAACTCAAGCACGAAGACACCAATTTAGCCTCGAGTACACTGTGAGTGCAATCTCTCACTCTTTGTTTAAAAGTGCTTTGTGTTTCTTGTGGGGTGTCTTCTCTTAAAAAGTCTTTTAAAAGCAAAACTTTAAGCCTTAAAAAATCTTAAATTCACTGAAATGTTGTGTTGTATGTTGTTTAATTTTCCTATTTTCATGTAAATCTATCAAATCAGTCCAACACCTGTCCAATCACCAGTAATTCATCTCAATAAAACTTTTAATGGAAGTTTTATTTATTATCTCTATTTAGCAATATGGTGTAATCATCGTCCTTACAATAGCATTAGTTGAAAAGTTCTCTGTGTATTTAAAGCTACCTGGTGAGGACACATCCCTGGACACGTGAAGTGTATTTATAAACTACTTTCGAGAGGGTCACATGCTTGTAATGCTGGTCCCACATTATTCAATTCACCAAGCAGATGATTCCTAAGTCACTTTAAATACCCTAAGTTCCATATAACAGCCATCCTTGTTTTGAAGAATCTCCCCTTCCAACCTTACTCATCCTCCTTTCCTAAATGGGTGGCACAGTGGCCCTATGGTTGGCACTGTTGCTTCACAGTAAGAATGTCACTGGTTCTAGTCCTTACCAGAGCCAGAGATAAACACCTATATCTATGATCGGGAGTTTTCCTGGATGTTAGTATGCAATTTTTTTTAATTACGAAAATTATAATTTTACATCACTTTTCTACATTGATGGATCAGCGATCGCATTGGCATTCCTGACAAAAAGCTTGTGTTTGTGTGTATGGAAATGTAATATTCACCCTCCCTGTTTAATTTGATCTAATCCGTGTCCTGAAACACACCTCCTCTCCTGCTTTCACTTCTCATACTGACGGAGGGAGCGATTCGTTTGTGAATGAATCTCCGTTATGAACGACTCGTTCACTAGCCGACAATAATACAAGTTTCTGGCAGCGCAGCATCTCGTTGTCATATTTCTTTTGCATTGTTTGCTGATTTTATTCAACAAAACTAGCTTAAGCCGAGTATTTAGTGCGAGTTGGAGCTGCTTTGCCTTATGATGAATGCAGTAAGTGACTGTATTATCATCAACAACGTTACCTGTTGAGCATAAATTTCAGAACATACAAAAACGTAAAAAACTCAATCTTACCAATGAAATGTTCTGCCTTTGTGCTTTGTTTTCTTTGTTTGCTCGTTACTACAATCTTAGACAGGGCTAAAGTCCCGCATCTTCACGTAATAATACTGTCTTGTCTAGTGCGGTTAAATGACATTTGTCCTGGGAGCACTGTACCAATGTGGCGGCGCTATAGACGCATGCTCAGGGTCCCTATGCGATATCTAGTGTATATATCTATGTCACAAATTGAGGAGCGGGGAAAGGAGGCGGAGTGGAGCGACAACGAGAGGAATCCTTCACAAACTGAGGAGCGATCACAAACCGAAAGCGGCGAGAGCGTCAAAGTAGCCAGAAGTCATTCATTTTTAAACGAGAACCGGCGGCGAGAAACAGTGGCGCGTCTTCATTGGCTATGACGCGGTTCGGCGGCAAGCAATCAGAATGAAGTAGTCCACCGCTTGAGAGGAGTTCAGAGAACACAGACCTGTGAACTTTGGTTCCGACCACAGTTGTTCCCAAGAGTTTGATTATTGCGTATCAATTATTGAAAATCACGCGGGGGCCCCACGCGGTGCGTGCCCTGCGGGCCCGTCCGCTATGCCACTGGACATGCGCCTAGTAAGTAGCTATCTCTCAAGAGCAATCACTAACTGATCATTAGCTACAGTACTACAGCAGGGGAGTTCTCGGGATCTACCTGAGCTCAAACTTCCATTTCGCCTTGCAAACAGGAGGAAGCCCCGGGCTCGAGGATCTTATGAGCTCAGGGCTCTCTACCGGGACAGAATGCCAAACAAGCTTTATAATCAATCAGCAGAAAAAAAGTGTATGTACTCTATATAACTGCTTATTTTGACAGATTATTTCAAATATGTGGCTAGGGAATAATTAAATTCAGATTTTGTTTGATAGAGCCACTACAAATCTTAACGTTGAGCCCTCTATAAATTTGACATTCCATTCATAATGTTCTAAAATGGTCTTAAAAAGTCTTCCTGTCAAGTTTATTAATTATTTTCTTCATGGTATTGCTGTTTTAAAAAGGTTGCGAGAGGGAGCCAACAAGGAGATTCTGGGCATTATTGTATCTTATAAGGTGAAAGTTAAGCTGGTGGTGTCTCGCGGAGGGTAAGTGTGCATTTTAGACATCTTTTGTGGCGTATGATGCTGAAATAAATTTGTATGTTTTGTGCAAAAGACATGAACGATACCTCAATTATGCAGCTTGCTCCGGGGAGATATGTTATCAGTTTATTTTTGAATTCATTTTTAATTTTGGTTTGAAAACGAGTTGACGTGGGCTTTGATGGACTGGAGTACATTGTGTTTAATGGATTGTACTGATGGTTAACAGAATGTCAAATGTTCACCTAATGAAGTCTCTTTAAAGGCTTTTAAATGTTATGAAAATCCCTTTTGGTAGATGTAATACTGGTGAAATTTTGTTTATATTTATTCTATTGTTTTATTTAAATAATGCTGTATTTTTGGTTTAGTCATCAGTTTTATGCTCTAAGGTTTATCGTTGCCTCATATTGTTGGCTGCGTCTGAAAGCTCTTCCATGCTTCCTTGGGGATCCTAGAGGATCAGTCACTCTGAAGGCTAAGAAAAAGGGTCAATGAATGCACATGAATTGGAAAGCGCAGCTCCTCACATGTGCGGCTGATTTTAAATCTTTACCTAAATAATTTTAACGCTGAAGAAGCCGAGCATCCAGTTTCCAGCTGGAGATCCAGCCACTGTGGCAACGAGACATAATGGGTGCTTCTCAGTATTCTTCCTCATTTCCTTACTCCTCTGTCCTTCATCCTGACCTGGAAATCAATCGAGCTCAGCCATCTTGTAGGACATCTCAGTGCTCTAAATGCATCGTGAGTACTTGAGGATTTAGGAGAGAGGGTGCTTCCTGAGGAGTAGGTGTCTCATATGTAAGGAAACACTGGTGGATCACTTGCGGACGTTTTTTTAACTGACCAAACGTGACATTCCAGCCTGATCTCATGGAAAAAGTATTTTACGTTTTGTCAGTTTAGTGGCTAATTCGTACAAATTCGCACGAGTTCAGTCGTACGGAAATGTACGATTTTAAAAAGGAGGCGTGGCACCTAACCCCAACCGTCATTGGGTGATGAGCGAATCGTACAAAACTTTTAGATTTAGATTGTACGAATTCATATAAATTAGCCACTAAATAAAGTTACAAATTGCCGTGAGATTGCGTTGGACATTCATGTAAATTCTCCTCCCCCTTCACATCCATGCCAATAATTAATTACTACAGTTGAAAAATCCCATTAATGTTAATAGTAAGCAAGAATTTATTGTAAATTTTCTTTGTCTTCACAGTTCCTTTAATTTTGATGTAACATACACTACCACTCAAACATTTGGGGTCAGTTTGTTTTCCCAAAAAAATTATTCTGTTCATGTAAAAAAAATTCCCCCGCTGAGTCGAGTGCTGGGGGCTTCAGAGGAACTCTCTGACAACTTATGTGTAGCCACTTTAAACCAACATGGCTTGATCAGTAAACATTTAAAGTAAAGTAATGTTTGTGTTTGTGTTTTATTTATTTATTTTTTTCAGGCTGCTGGGAGATCTTGCGTCAAGGTAATGTCTAACATTTATTCCTACCAGAAGTTATTATTGTGTGTGTGTGTGTGTGTGTGTGTGTGTGTGTGTGTGTGTGTGTGTGTGTGTGTGTGTGTGTCGTCATCTTAAAATTATAAGGTTCTATCTGACATTTTTGTCAAAATTGAGTTATTGACATATTCTTATTAAATGACAAATTATTTACATTATGGGGTGTTTTTTATAAGTTGTTTACATTTTAAGACTTTTTATTTAAGAAAACAAAACAAAAAAAACAAAAACAAATGCTCAACACAGGCTGTTTCTCAATATCAAGTACGCAAAGTTCGGACTTGCGTCCTTCGAAGGTCAGACTTGACAAGTTCAGACTTGGAAGAATGAACTCCCAAATACGCAAGGACGAGTCGGGTCCTTTTTCAAATGAAACGGCAGTGTAACGTCACTTACGCCTCACTCACACGGGGCGTCAGCTTCAACGCTTCCCATTCATTTTGAATGGGTGACGTCAGGCGTTGCCGAACTGCATAGTGGATCCGTTCAGAGGCTTTGCTCGCTGCAGAAGTTGGGACTTTTCAAGTGCCGACGGAAGCGTCAGCCAATCAGATTGCTGTATCCAAATACACCAGCTCATACAGTAGCCGATTGCTGACTAATTTCATTGGCTGACGCTGCTATAATGATTGCGTCATTCCCAACTTTAGACACGCTCTCTGTCAAGCGTTACTTCACCATGGATTCATCGGTTTCACAGTACATTAACAATAAAATTATTTAATTATATAAAGCACGACCCTGTAATTAATATTATATTAATTTTATAAATCTACATTTTTGTTTTAAGAAAATGTACACATAAATTCATATAAATATGAAGTAAAATGAGTTATTATACACAGACACATGTCTTTGATTATCAGATTTAATAAACTTCAATGGTAATTATGCAAGTAAGAAATAAAGACATACACGATAGGAAATAAAGATTGTCAAACAATTTCGTAAGCGAAAACAAACAGCGTACAACACGGTAACATAATTAAAGACACTTATAAAAGGTAACAAAATAATACTGCTAAAATAATACACCTGAGAACAAATAATAGATTTAAAAGATCAAAACTGTCAGTTAGATATTCACAAGATGAATTAAATATCATGTTTTAACTGCAATCAAAAGATAAAATCCAGCGGTACATCTGAGATGGACTGGCTGATGTAAAGCTGCTCTTGGCGGAGGAGGTGATGACGGAGCTCCCGCTGACAGGCTGGGAGTCAGAGTCCGCATAAGCTGAGGCACATCGTCAAAGACGTGCTATCTTTGTGAATAAACTGCTGATTCGAGTTTAAAACAACTAAATTCTCGCCTGAAAAGCAGTTAAAACGTTATTTTGTGACACAGTAAAGGAGTATTTTTAAAACCGTGCAGATTTTCTCCTCCATCATTAGCGTTTGCTGGTTTAGCTGCAATGCATTCTAGGATACTTGAGCTTCGCAAGTTCGCACAAGTCACTTCTCGATGCATTCTTGGCCAAAGGGGCAGAGCAAGTACACATGCGGGAATTTTATCTGTACTTGGCAAGATGTGAACTTTGAATTGGAACACTATTTTGGCAACGGTTGATGAGGTTTCACGAGGACACAAGATCGCAAGTACAGACAAGAACGCATATTGAGAAACAGCCATACTGTTATGGAACGCAAAAACTTTGAAGCCCAATATCTCAAAATCATTCAGGACGCAGATAGAACCTTATAAATCAAAGGCGACGGTTTGTGTTTGATCTCTGAATGTTTACACAACAGCAATGGAGTGTAAGGTTTTTCTTGCATGTCTTTTGAAAAGTTCTACATCAAAATCCTTGTTCACAACATCCATGAAACAACTGAAAAGGTGACACTTTACAGCAATGGTTCATTATTTAATGTATTTATTACAATTAACTAAGTATGAATAATATTGTAAAGCATTTATTAATCATAGTTCAGCATTAATTTATGCATTATTAAAAGTTGTGCTTGTTAACATGAATTAATGCACTCGAGTTAATATAAGCTACTGGTATTTTGAATTAGTTGGAATTAGTACCTTTTATCGGTCTATGCATTGTTTTTCATTTATTGTTCGCAAGAAACTTGCTCTTCAACTTATTTAGCCAATTTTTGATTATTGCAATATTGTTTATCAGAGTGCATCAAAATTAGATCTTGCTGCCCTTAATACGGCATATAATAGACTTTGCAGATTTGTTCTGGGTTGTTCTTTTTATACACATCATCGTTTAATGTATGATCTGTTGCAGTGGCCATCTTTGCACACAAGACGACATATTTATTGGCTTCAATTTATATTTAAATGTATTCATTTTGAGTATCCTTACTATTTACAACAATATTTTGTATGTTTTTCCTTAAATGATCAGTTAGACATTCTGTTCAGACTTATTTTTTTGTTCCTCGTTGTAAAAAAATCTATGAGTAAAAGAGCTTTTATGTTTGAGGGTCTATCAGATTGGAATAATTTAACTGCGAACATTCGATCCATTAAATCAGGGGTGCTCAATCCTGTTCCTGGAGATCTACCTTCCTGCAGATTTCAGTTGCTACCCATATCAAACACACCTGAACCAATTAATTAGGACTTGAACACCAATTGATAATTAAAGGCAGGTGTGTTTGATATGGGTAGCAACTGAAATCTGCAGGAAGGTAGATCTCCAGGAACAGGATTGAGCACCTCTGCATTACATCATGTAAGGTCTTTAAGCAGACTTTGCTATCACATTTTACTTTGGATTGTACTTGTTTTTCCTGAGGATGTTATTATTTATTTGGTGATTGATTTACTGATCTGTATGTAGTTTTTCTACAAATATATACGTATGTGTGTATGTATACTACTCCACCCCCTCCCTTATTTTCTTTTCTTTTTTTAAAAATTATTTTTCTTTTACTTTATTTTATTTATTTATTATTTTTTTATGTTATGTCATGTTTTTTGGATGTTGTGTAAATTATTTTTTGTCTTCTTGTGTTGTTATTAATTGTGGGACCCCCTTGAAAATGAGATGGTAAATCTCAAGGGGTTTATCCCAATGAATAAATATCATTTAACTTAAACAACCAACATACACTCCTGCTCCTATAATACGAGACATCGTCTTATACAATTCAAAATTATACATAGGCTTCACTTTTCAAAAGTAAAGATCCACAACATTTTCCCAAACGCTTTATCCAACTGTGATAAATGTCAGTCCCCTAATGCAACGCTTTTCCATGCTTTTTGGAAGGTCACAAACTACTGGTCTGATGTATTTAATGTATTTGTCAAGAATTTTTAAGACTACACTATTACCTGAACCATTGTTGATTATTCTTGGCACATCAGAGTTATTTAGAAAATTTACTTCAGCTCAACAGTGGTTCATTTCCTACTCTCTTATTACTGCAAAAAAAAATTACTTTTGATGTCATGGAAAGGACCAACGATATCTACTGACAAAATGTGGCTTCGAGATCTCTCCAATGCTTTACATTTAGAAAGAATTAGATATTTGTTGAAGGACAATCTCTCAGGTTTTTATAATATTTGGCAACCCTTCATAGACTTCTTACAATCAGTATCTGTATAAACACGCATTTTCTTCCATTTTTTTATATATAAACTCTTATTGTACTTCTTGCTACAAAATTGTATTCTATTTCCACATTGTTTGTCTTTTCTGCTTTGTTTTGTATGTATATTCAAACAAAAATATTTGAGCCTTTTTTATATTGTTGATTGAAATTGTATAATATATATATGCTCAAATCAAAAAAAAAAAAAAAAAAAAAAACTTAAACAACCAACACTAACTTTTCTGGTGATGGGGTGCGGCTGAAAGGGCATCCGCTGCGTAAAACATTTGCTGGATAATTTGGCGGTTCATTCCGCTGTGGCGACCCCAGATTAATAAAGGGACTAAGCAGATAAGAAGATGAATGAACCAATGAACTAACACTAACAAAGATGCATAAATAGTGTAATTAATGTATTTCTAATTGCGTGTTCATTTTAGTAAATACATTAAAGAACATTAACTTATGGATCGTTATTTTAAAGTGTTACCCTGAACATTTAAAATCCACTGAACACATACTGTGAGACAATGTTACTGTTTCAGGTCCTCAAAACACTGTGTAAACGAACCGTAAAAATTCATTCAAAGTTGTTTTTTTTTTCATTGAATGAAGCTCTATGGTGACACTCATTGACTGAGACTGTCTATACACTAAAGAGTCTGTCCTGTCCAGCTGACTCCAGCACATTATAGATTTCCATACGTAGCCAAGCTCTTGACCAGAAGCACAGACAGACTCAGAGGCTTGATCAGATGCCATCAATTACTGGAGCATTTGTGCTGATGCTTTTAGGCCAGTGGTTCCAGCACTCTGTTAGCACCTTATGAGTGGTGGGATTGAGGTCTGGGAGCAGCGTATCCTAAAAGGCCAGGGTTTATTCGGTTAGCATGTCTAGTGGATGCCTCACTGCCATGATTTATGTCTCCCTCTGCAGTGATGTTGCCGTCGAGCTCCCCTTTACATTAATGCATCCTAAACCATTGGAGGAATCGATCTACAGAGATGGTTTGTGCCAGAATGCCTTTTCATCCGCTTTTTATGTCGCTCTGGATGGCTAGTTTAAAACTATGATTTATTTTTAGAGTCTTAAACATGCACTTAAATGTAGAAATGTATTATAGAATATATTTTTATAAAAAAAAAGACTCTTTTATAATTTCAAATAAAAAAATAAACTTTAAAGGGATAGTTCACCCAAAAAATATTTTAAATCAATTTTTGGCTTCTTCTGTTGAACACAAAAGAAGATATTTTAAAAAATGCTGTTAGCTGGCACCCATTGCTTTTCCATATATATTTTCCTTATCATGGAATTCTATGGGGGCCAGCAAGAAACATTCTTCAAAGCATCTTATTTTGTGTTTAACATTCCTCTCTACGCACCAGGCACTTTATTAGGAATATTTCTGATTTCATTTCGATTTCTGTTTAATGGAGAGAAATTTTTTTTCTACACATTTCTAAACATAATAGTTTTAATAACTTATCTCTAATAATTTATTTTATTTTATCTTTGCCATGATGACAGTAAGTAATATTTTTCAAGACACTTCTCTACAGCTTAAAGTGGCATTTAAAGGCTTAACTAGGTTAATTAGGTTAACTAGGCAGGTTAGGTTAATTAGGCAAGTTATTGCATAACAATGGTTTGTTGTGTAGACTATCAAAAAATCTAGCTAATAATTTTATCCTTAAGCCTTTGATGCACAAGCTATAAAATAGATATAGAAAAAATAAACTTGGTCAATGTAGCGCATCAAACGGTTAAAATGATGTTTAAAAAATTAACAGCTGCTTTTATTCTAGCCAAAATAAAACAGATAAGACTTTCTCCAGAAGAAAAAAAATTTCCTTGCTCTGTTAAACATCATTTGGAAAATATTTAAATTTTTTAAAAATGGAAGAAAAAAAAAATAAAAGCAGGGGGCGAATAATTCTGACTATAAGTTAATATATTATTGTTTTTTTTTATTCATTTATTTTTTCTATAGCATTATTTTGCATATCTAAAGTTAGAACTATCTTGGTCTTATTTTCTATAGATATAACTTTCTATAGATATAACTGTAGATATAATTACTATGTCTAAAATTGTCTATGTTTTTACTTCATATACGTATTATACTGCATAATTTAGTTATAGAGAATTTGAATTTTGAACCCATAAACATATAAAGGGATGAGGGAAAATGAATATTGTGGTGATTTTCATTTTTGGGTGAACTATCCTTTTAAGAATATACAAATTTTAATTCTTAAAATATATTTTCTATAATTTCAGTACTGAAGTATTGGGGAAAGTAATGCATTACAATATTGAGTTCCCCCCCACCCTACCCAAAAAACTAGTTCTTTTTGTAATGCGTTGTGTTACTTTTGCATGACTTTTTCTGCTATTTATTTAATTCTGCTCTTCAATTAACAATGCACTGTATAACCTTCATTTACCTTTAAAAAAAACACATAAAAAGTAATGTAGGATAACATTGTGTTCGGAGAACTTCCTGACCCCAGAGCTACAGTATACATGCCGTATATACAGATTAATGAATGTTTAAAGCCATGTGTGTGCTACTTTTGTACTTTTTGTCTTATTAAAAAGTAAAATTACTGACCAATCAGATAATCCTCTTTTCTTTTTCATCCATGTGTTAAAATTAATGAGAATATTTTCATTTCAGAAACTTAAGGCCGTCATTATTTCTGTCTGTTCCTGCATTCTCTCATTGTGTAGGGAATTAACATAACTACATTCATTTAAGTTCCTCAATTAATTTTTGAACAGCAAATTAACTAAACAAAAAAGTAACTCGCATTATAATTTTACTCAAATATTATTACTTATTTTTTTTTTTAAAAGTAAAGCATTACTTTACTCATTATTTAGAAAATGAATATTATGACGTAACTTTTGTTAATTGTAATGCATTACCCCCAACACTGCATCTGGATATGTCAGAATGTTTAAGATGTTTGTACTGACGACAAATATTTTGCAGTTGTTTGGTTGTACAGCTGAGAGTTTAGTACCTTTAGCATTCCGACACGTAATGTTTGTCAGATAGAAACATCTCTTTGTGCTGATGTCTTCATGAGATGGACATAAGGAGTTATTTAAGTCAGAAATGAAGTGAATTGCCTTCAGAGTGCCAATCAATACTCTTTCTGCAACCTCTTTGTTTCAGCCCCAGAAAATGATGCGCCCATTGACACAAACCTCATTGAGTTTGACACAAAGTAAGTGAAAATCTTTTCTTTGCGGTGTTTGGACTTTACTCAACTAAACTGCTGTGAACTTTGTGATTATTCACAGAGTTATGAAGAGGCTTGTGTTGCTGATTTCCATTTATTTGTTTAATCAAAAAATTCTGTCATGTACTCTAAAAGCCAAGTGTTGATTTTTCTCATCAATGCTGCGTTTATTTGATCTGAAGTATGGTAAAAGCCTAATGTTTTGAATGTTTTAGTTATTTAAATATATCCTCCTGAGACCCAAAGAAATTATTTTTCTTTTTTTTCTTTTCTTTTTTCTGCGATTTTTCCTTCATCCTTTGGGTAAAAAAAAATCTACAATTTAGTTTTTACATTTAGTTTTTAGTTTTAATTTTACAGCATGTCCACTGTAGTGGACCACAGGACCATTTTAGTTCGAAACAACCACCAAACTCAGACAACAAAACTGTACAGGATATGGCTGTAAAGGAATATTAATCTATTATTGTAACAAAAACAAAACAAAAGCCATTTTTTCCTTTTGTATTGAAATTCCTGTAATAGTTTAGTCTGAAAGTGAAAAAAAAGAAGTGATGTTAATCCAAAACAACTTTGACTCAAAAGCTATTTAAAACTGATCGTCATTCGCTAATTGTCAGACTCTAAATCAGAGTCTCCCTCAACTATCTTATAAAGAATCCTCTCCGATTCTGTTCTGCCTCCTACAACATGCAGTCATTCATTACATTAAGATGGATCTGGTGTCCACTATAGTGGACATTTTAAAAAGGATGATGTTTTGAAACACAAACAAGTTAACAGCTTTGAAAACTAAATGTATTGTTCATGACACTTTAATAAACAAATATATATGTAATAATAATAAAAAAATATGTATAATTAATTTATAATAATTAATTAACATTTAAAAAAATAAATTTTACATGCCTCTCTCCTTCCCATAAAATGTCCTTTTTTGTATGTCGGCTACTTTGGATGCAGGGTAAGAAGTGGTTTCTAGCATGCCAGCCAATCAAATGACATATCACTAGAAAGCCCAGGATGTCCTCTGAACAGTACAACAGGACTTGACAGAGTAGCTAAAAAAAAAAAAAAAAAATTCTAAGAAAACTCATTAAAACTTAATGTCCACTACAGAGGACACAAGTCAATGTGTGGGGTATCAGGAGGATATGTGATTTTTACCCCCTCTTAAAATGCTGGGTTATTTAAACCAAAACACTTGGAAAACTCTAAACCAGGGGTCACCAATCCTGGTCCTGGAGGGCCGGTGTCCCTGGAGGGTTTAGCTCCAACTTGCCTCAACACACCTGCCTGGATGTTTCAAGTATACCAAGTAAGAGCTTGATTAGTGTGTTCAGGTGTGTTTGATTAGGGTTGGAGCAAAAATCTGCAGGACACCGGCCCTCCAGGAACAAGTTTGGTGACCACTGCTCTAAACAAATAAGCCAATGGTTGGGTTTGTCAATATTTAACCAAAAATGGGTCAAAATAATACTTTTTTTTTTTTTAAATGTAGTTAATTGATTCAATGTTGAACTCTCAGCATCATGACTTCAGTCTTCATTTTTAAATTATTTTTCATTGTTTATAATTGGTTCTCAATTAATAATAATGGCATTTATTATAAACAATCTTTAATGTTAAGATTTTTTAAATTGCAAATGCAGCTTTTGTCTATTACAGTTTTCTCCATTGGTTTGGCTCATTTCTTCAAACAGAAATTACATTGTCAAAATTCTAAGATTATTTGGCAAAACAGTGTTAGAGTTTAGCAGAACACTATAGCTCTCTTACAAAAGCTTATATCTCTCCAAAAACAGTTCACTCATATATCAAAACTAAATTCCCTTCCTATATGAAAAGTCAGTGCCACAAAAATGGGAAATATCCTTCTCAATTGCCTTGACTCACTTTTTAAAACAGACCGGACATTCTCAACTCTCTTGGTGCTTTTGCCAAAATAATGTGGATGGTGCGGCACAACACCATGGTTCACCTGTAACAGTTAATATCTTTCCCAAAACAGTTCACTCATGTGTCAAAACTAAATTTCCTTCTCATTTAAACAGTCAGTGCCCCCAAACTGCTTCATCCCTTTAGCATTGTGTAAGCACTGCAAGTCAAAATGTTTAGATGTTTTGTCATTATGGCACAGGACCACTAAAATATCCCTCATGTCCACCTTAGAGTCTTAGCCCAGTTCTTCACTGACAATGGTTACTGTACTGTTTTTGTCTAGCTAACAGAATACAGTTGTGTATAAAACTGAAAAAAAGAAACAGGATTTTAGGGTAAGAGTGGCCTCCAAGATCAACCACACACAAAGTAACCTCCAAATATCCGAGCAAATAGAAACTTTATACCGCATAATAAACTGTCATATAAACACACAAACAAAAACCTAGAGTGCTATAAATAAAGCTGGAGTTTCATAACAGTTCTTCACTGTCTGCCGTCCCCACCCTTCTGACCATCCACACACTGCAGTCTTTGTGGCCACAGATTCTCGTCCACATCACAGCGTATATTCCCCCTTGCAATGCAACGAGGGAAGAAACGGTGTGATCGTCGCAACAATCCCCTACAATGATCAAATGTTCCAAGGATTCACCTACTGTATGGTATTCATGGTATCATTGTGCATGTGATTACTTATACAATGAAATTACACTGATATATTTTGGAGACAACAACCATTAGACTGGGAGAGGCAGTGGCGCAGTAGGTAGTGCTGTCGCCTCACAGCAAGAAGGTCGCTGGGTCGAACCTCGGCTCAGTTGCCGTTTCTGTGTGGAGTTTGCATGTTCTCCCTGCCTTCGCGTGGGTTTCCTCTGGGTGCTCCGGTTTTCCCCACAGTCCAAAGACATGCGGTACAGGTGAATTGGGCTGGCTAAATTGTCCGTAGTGTGTGTGTGAATGTGTGTGTGGATGTTTCCCAGAACTTGCTGGATAAGTTGGCGGTTCATTCTGCTGTGGCGACCCCGGATTAATGAAAGGACTAAGCTGACATGAAAATGAATGAATGAACCATTAGACTGCGAATTTCCAATCAGTTTAGATCAACAAGATCTATTTACTTGGAAATAGTGCTAAATGTAGGCTCTGTCCTAATCATTTGCAAAAAAGTACTTAGACATTTGCAATTTGATGAAATTAATGAGAAATTCAATTCTGTTGCGAACAATTGGCAAGTAGTTTGGAGGTGTGATGAAAACGAGCCCACCAGCTGGTCTTCAGGGGGAGAAATTTGAGTTTGTAAAGGCGAAAAAATGCTGGCTTATTCGCAAGGTGATGTTTATTTACAGTGCCAAAAAGTCCATCCACAGTGAGGGTATATACAAGTGCTAACAAAGAAAATAAAAAAGGACCAAAGAAACAGCAACCAGGAAAATAAAATCTGCAAAAAATATACTCAAATTATATCTAAAAAAATAATAATAACAGGAATCCACAATATAAGAATTTGCTCGAGGCACCACAGTAGCTCTTGCATAGGCTTGGTGAACAAGTGCTGTATGGTAGTTGGGCTCTGGCTTATATAGCTGAAACTCTGGCTATACCATTCAAAGGTAAGTATTAAATCGGACAAATACACAAACATTAAAAAACTTAACATTCAATCAACACTTCACATTAAACACATAAAGAAAAAAATCCTTAATATATAAATAGCAACAAAACTTAAATTTTCTTAATATAAATAAAAACATAATACACACTCCATGAACACAAAACACCTATTCACAAACATAATGGTTTCGTCAGCAACATTTGTCCATATCTATGTTTCCATTCAAAAATGGGAATAAACTTAATGCGCAAAACTGGACTATCGCATAAAAGTTGTGCGAATGAAGCATCGTTTCCGTCTAATGAGTCAAAGCGAACAAAATCATCACTTCCTGATTAACTAGCGCCAAATATCAACAGTAAAAACTGCATTTGCTGCAGTAGAAGAAGCTGCATCAATCTTTTCTAAATGAATGCGCCTCAGAAGACAATCCTGACAAGCAGTGAGCGCGCAGTGGCGTTTGAAGGTGTCAGACGCGGAGCACGGTCGCTCTTGATTCTGGAGGTCATTAATAATGCTCAGCCTGACGTTTTGTCCATTCACACACATTTTAAGCATCACATGATCTCTTTTAACAAAATCACATGACCTTTTTTACTGCGCATGCTGGAGTTTGTGCGGTAAAAGTGCTTCTATCGCAGTTTATGCGCATCTTTTCTTATCGAATAAAAAGTTTATCCTACCCAGTTAGGCGCATAAGTTTTTTATGCGCATTTTCAAAATTTATGCGCATCATGGCGTTTCCATCAACTGTTTTTTTTATGCGCATTTGCAAAATGCGGATAAAATAAATGGATGGAAACATAGCTACTGTTAACAACATTTGTCCATGTTATTTGGGGAATGTAATTTCTGTTTCAAGAAATGAGCCAAACCAATGGAGAAAAACTGTGAAACAAACAAACTGTTCCTCTGTTTGTCCTTAGTGACGATGACATCATCTTCGAGGACTTTGCTCGGCAACGGCTGATCGGGGCAAAAGACGATAAGGATGAAGACGAGGAGGGCGCAGATTCGCCCAAATTGAACGACAGATAGACACAGGCAGGTCAGATGTTGGTGTTTGGTGACGATATACCGGAGGCCCTTTTGAGATAACCTGGAGAAATGGGACACCCTTTAACACACTCACAGTGGTGCAGTTGTCGTGTTCTTGTTCACATTCGTCTCTTCCATCCTGCGAGGGTGTCAAATAAAAACTTACGTGTAGAAAATGTGACCTTGTCGTGGAAGCAGTTAGAAGGTTTTAGTTAATAGGCGTCCACTGAGTGCCTGAGGGTTTCTGAGGCGAGGGTTTCTCCTCATAGCTAAATCAAACGTCAGTGCTCGCATGCCTTTGTTGTCGCTTTGTTTTCTAGATTCTTCCTTTGTTTAGAACAGAGGAGGAGTTTGAGGGCCGTGGCTTAGTATTCAACCATATTTAACGTATGGACTTTTGTTCTGTTTTAATCGCTGTAACAAGAACTGGATTTAGTATTTTTATTATAAAAGCTGCCAAATTGAATGACCTTTATAATGTTCCACGTCTAAGAGCGGAGTAGACTGAAAGTATTTTTTATTGTTTTCGGTTACCGAAAAGAACTGATATCTACAAATCTGTATTACCTAACAAAAGTAATGGATATACTACTGATCATAAGACTATATGAGACAACATTTTTTTTTCTCTTAACAATCCTTTATTATTTCTAAAAAAAAAAAAAGAGGTGGGTTTCTATGAAATCATTTAGTTATAAACTGTACCTATATATCTTTAATATTGCTATAGGGTATTTTTACATAATTAAAGCTTCTCAACACAGAGCACCTATGGACAGTAATGTGCTACAGACATTCCAGTTATGATCTTCATTCTGAATAATGTGTATAAGGATTAGTTCACCCATTAATGTAAACTGTGTTATGAATTACACATTTTCATGTTGTTCTAAACCATTGAGACCTTTGGTTAGATGATACTCGAGAGCTTCCTCTGTCACACCTGTTGTAGTGCCCTCATGTGGATACTTGAGGGCACTAGCATTTGTTTTGTTTTTGCTTGTATCTCTGCACATGTGATCACTTATCGTTTTCAGCTGTTTCTGTTTGTTTAATTGAGTCCTGTCTTTATAAGCTCTGTTCGTTTGTGTTTTAGTTGCCTTTGGATTTTTGATTTGTAATTTTGTTCCTCGTGATTTGGTTTGTTTGTTTGATCACTTTGTATCATCTCAATAATTTGGATTTCTGCTCGTTTCTTGTCTGCACTGAGTTTTTTGGATCATCGTTGTTTAGTTTAATAAATTTATTTTGCTGCACATGGATCTTTTCTTGTTTTTGTGAAACCCTCTCGTGACATAATCCAAAGGCAACTAAAACACAAACGAACAGAGCTTATAAAGACAGGACTCAATTAAACAAACAAGGAACAGCTGAAAACGATAAGTGATCACGTGTGCAGAGATACAAGCAAAAACAAAACAAATGCTAGTGCCCTCAAGTATCCACATGAGGGCACTACAACAGGTGTGCCATCCTCATCCTCCATAGCCAGCAACGGTTCCCAACTCATTCAAAGCCCAAAAACATCCTCAAAACAGACCATATGCCTTCAGTGGTTCAATAAGATTATCATCAAGGGAATATTTTGTACGCACATAAAAATAAAATAAGGACTTCATGCAACAGCTTCTTCCTCTCAGTGTCAGTATATTGTGCACATTCATGAGCACTGTGCAGTGATGTATACTAAATGATTGTTGTTGCTTGATAAAATTCTGATTGCACTGAAGGCTTATGCTGCGTTCACTCCATACACGGAAGAAGCGTCAAGCTCGAGTGATTCACATGTTAAGTCAATGCAAACGTACGAATAGACATCCTGCGGGTTTAAATCTGAACTTAAGCGGACATTCGCATCACGTTAACCAATCAGGAGCTTGCTCTTGTGGGGGGCGTGATTGTGATGTGGAGCCTGTTGTTGGCGTCCCGGATGAAATTCTCTAGCTGGATGCACCTCTGAAAGGATCTAGTGGACTCAGACACAGCCCCAAACTTATCGATGCTGTTTTTCAGCCTTCATAAAGCACATAAACACTGTTATTTTCTTAATAAATTCATGTTAGCCATTTAGCAACGAAGCTAGAGTCATCGGGCAGACAGAAGCCCATCACATAAATCTGCGTCTGTTCTGAAAATTCTGTACTCAAATGTTCACACGCAAATAGCGCGATTTATCTGCACATTCCATTTATGGTGTGAACACAGCATTATGGTTTGTATTGTACCCCAAGTCTAGGGGAAAACAACATGGGCATAAAAAAAAAAAAAACAAGTGTTGTGGGTGGTGGATTTCCCAAACAAACCAAAAAAAAGTTCTGTTGACAACCAAACTTAAAGAGTAATTTAATAGATTTAATATAGAAAATAGAAGTTTTAAATGAGCATCTCTTCAGGGTGGCCATAGGCCAAAATAACAAGCAAAAGAATATACCAAGTAAGTGAACTAAATTACCTATAAATATGAAAGTACAGAAAGTTTATCTTCCTTCCTAAATATAAACAAAGTCAAAAGTAATAAATAAAATAAATAAAAAATAGGCAGGCCACCCCTACAAGCTCAAACTCTCAAAATATTGCAAGCATGAACAGTTGTCCAAGACTAAATGTTGGTCGTCGCCCGGAGAGGTAGGGAAATCCAGGAGCTCCTTTCCCAGCAATCGTCGCACCACAAATGAGCTCCCGAATCCTGCCGGAAGTTCCTTTTTAAAGGCCTCCATGACCAGCAGCCAATCAGAGCTTGAATCACGTTGGAATGGGAGCCTATGAAAATACAGAAAACAACACAAGAAGGCAGGAAGGCACAAGAAAAAGACACATGCAATGCGCAGCAAAAAATAAATAAATAAACTTCAAAGTCAAAACACTTTGTTTTAAGGAGGTTTTTGGTACTTCGTTGGACGAGTCGAAATCTTAGCTGTTTATGGAGGATAGGAGAGCTCTCATATTTAACCTAAAATATGTCAATTTCAGTTCTAAAGATGAACGAAGGTCTTGAGGGTCTGGGACTACAAGAGGGTGAGTAATTAATTGCTAACATAATTTGCCTTTTTACCAGAACTAACTCTCAAAAACGAGGATTTTGAAGAATGTACCGGTGTGTTTTCTCATGCTATCACAATTAATAGGGACTGCAGCTTTCAAGGGCTTTAAAAGCATAGACATGTTTTGAGAGTCATCCCAATGTTTGCTTGTTTTGTGTTAAGAAATTATTTTTGTGAAGCACTTGAGTTTGTTACAGCACTTAATTCAATTCAACTCAATTCAGCTTTATTTGTATAGCGCTTTTACAATGTAGATTGTGTCAAAGCAGCTTCACATAAATGGTCATAGTAACTGGATCAGGGTAGTTCAGTTTTTAGTGTTTAAGTTCAGGTCAGTTTAGCTCAGTTCAGTGTGCTCACTTAAGAACTGGATCAGATTTGTATGTCGTTTAGTGCAAAACAATACAAGTGTTATACTTTTTTTCTGTATTTAAACAAAAACAGGACAAACTTAATGACACTACAATAAATAATAATAATAATAATAATAATATTAATAATAATATTCATAATAATAATAATGACATACTAGCATTCAGCTAGCTTTGCAGCTGTTTAAGGGGAAATAAAAAAGGGCTGCAACATAAATAACGTAAAGGCCTTCTACTGTCTTCGATAATTAGAAAAGGCGGTTAAAACAATAATTAAATGCAGTTTAAAGGCGCATGCTTAATTCTGAATTAATGCCTTTCCGGTCAAATTTAAACTGTAACAAAAAGTTTGAAATAAAATAATGCAAAAAGGGTTCATTTAGTTGGAATCCAGCATAGCAGGTGAAGTCCTTACCCCAGGTGGAGGAGTTCAAGTATCTCGGGGTTTTGTTTACGAGTGAGGGAAGGATGGAACGTGAGATTGACAGGCGGATTGGTGCAGTAATGCGGAAGGAGCTGACATATGGTCATGAGCTTTGGGTAATGACCGTAAGGACAAGATCTCGGATACAAGTGGGTGAAAAGAGTTTTCTTCACAGGGTGGCAGGGCGCAGCCTTATAGATAGGGTGAGGAGCTCTGTCATCCAGGAGGAGCTCGGAGTAAAGCCGCTGCTCCTCCACATCGAGAGAAGTCAGCTGAGGTGGCTTGGGCATCTGTTTCGGATGCCTCCTGGATGCCTTCCTAGGGAGGTGTTTGAGGTGTGTCCCACCGGGAGGAGGCCTCAGGAAAGACCCAGGACACGCTGGAGGGACTATGTCTCTCGGCTGGCCTGGTAATGCCTCGGGATCCCCCCAGAGGAGCTGGAAGAAGTGTGTGGGGTAAGCCCCGGGAAAAGTGGTTGAAAATGATTGAATGAATATAATATTTAACATTTTATATAAATATACAAGTGATATTATTATTACATTTAGTATTATTACAGTGCAATCATTTAATAAATTGAAACAGTTATTCTTTTTTTTAATTTATTTATACTTTGCCACTTTCCTTCCAACCTAATATAACATTTGATACACTTATTCCTTGTAATTTTATATATTTTTATACGTACATGTTCTTTTGTAGCAACTCAATCTTAAAGCAATTCGTAATTTTTTGATTCAGTGGCTAATTCGTATGAGTTAGAACAATTTGTTCATCCCCCAATGATTTCCAAATGGTTTTAGTGGCGGATTGGGGTTTAAAATCATAAATTTTTATGCAAATTCATATGTATTAGCCCAGGGGTTTTCAAAGTGTGAGGCGCGCCTCCCCTGGGGGGCGCCAGAGCATGTTAGGGGAGGCGCGGGAAAAAATATTATATAATAAAAATATAATAATTAAGTTTAATTATTATATGTATTTTTTATTATTTTTAAACGTTTTAATTAAACAAAGCTAAAAAAAATAATATGTCAAAAATAAGAAAACCTTTTTTACCCAGAAGGCCATAGCTGTGAATTCGCTTCTGTTTGGCAAGCCCGCCAATACAGTTATATGCCTGCTAATTTACAGTCTATGCTGCTAATACAATGGATCGGTTTCTGA